CTTCTTGCCATCGCATATTTATGGGACATGATGGGACAACACCTGACTCTTTCAGTTGGCCCACCTAAAACTTGCTGAATTGCATCAACAGGTGCAAAAAATATATTGCGGAATGGCATTTGCAATCTATAAAAAGAGTGTATGTATTCAATAGTATAGGCCTGTGCTAATACCTAAGGAGGATAAGTGAATTAACATAGGGTTTTAAAATAATACTGATACCTATGTGTGTGTGTGTTTAAAATTTGAGGAGTTCTCAAATCGGGGGTGTAGAAATAAAAACTGCACTGTTATTATCAATTTCACACTTTACCCGATCAGTAGACAATATGGATAAACAGACAGAGAGAGTAGTTATTTTACATAGGAAAACTTTTACTGAACTTGAAAGAAAATGTATTGCAATGAGAATAATAGCAAACAAATTACGTTTTTTGGCTATCAAAGATTTTACAAGTGGCTTTTTATGCCACAACAAAAATAACATGACAATAAAAATGACATAATAAAACAGGATATTATATAAGAATTCTGACAACTTTACCTTTTTTAATTTTTCTTAAACGCAACTACAAGCTGATTTATTAAATGAAGAAATAAGTTTTTTTTTATTTTATGAAATTTTTTAATAATTTAAATTTCTTTCAAAACTTTCCGAAATCTACTTGGAAAGAAAAAAAAAATAGCTTTTTACGCAGCAGAAATAAATAAATAAATAAAAAACAGACACATTTTGACAACATTTCAAAAACTATTGTAGCTGATAATGATTTTTCACAAGACGGGCGTAGGAATACACCAGCTGGGACGAATGAGTCCGTTATTTGTGACGTGTAACAATAATCAATCGGTAAAAACAAACTTCCTTGCGTGATAGTCGAAAAATGTGTACGGATGACAATAGGGATCACTAACCAGCTATATCATCATTATGACTATCACCATTATCATAGAGTTAAGCTTAAAAAAAATCTTATTTAAATAATTTTACAGAAATCTTTGTTTTAGTCATAAAAGATGAATTGGGATTTTATAAGGAAAAAGGTTATCTAACCTACCCAAGCATTTTATGTGCCTATCAAATCAAGCTCACTTGGTCCCTTTATTTAAGATGTTTAAATGAAGGAACCAACGTCTTCTAACTTTTAATCCTTTGTTTTATAATCATACATGTTCAAATTATTTTGAATGTGTGTACCAGTTGTGTCTTTCCACATCAATATGCATCCACAATGCTATAGGGAGGGCTGGAGGACTTCAGCCCCCAGCTTTTTGCTGGGACTGAGAGAAGTTGGGTTTTTTGACCTCAATCTATAATAATGTTGTTGAGATGAGCTGTATCATTTGTCTAATATTATTACTGCCATTAATTTCCAAAATAAATCATAAAACTTCATCTTTCTTTCATTTTTTTTTTTTTTTTTTTGAATAGATTAGTTTCTAAAACTTTCTTTTATACAAGTCTTATATGGAACAAAAGGTCTTATTCCAGAAAATAATTAAAAACGACCAGCAAAAAAAATGTGTATTTAAAATAAAAAAAGAAATGTTTACAATAGGTTAATAGATCTAAAAAAAAATATATATATATACATTTTATGAGAGAATCAGAGAAAAAATATAGAATCAGGAATTTTTAAACCTGACCTCTGACCTAGCCACCCACCTTCCCCTGCCAACATATTTTATGTGGTACCATGTCTGCTCTGAGATCAATATTAATAGAAACTAGAAAATTACAGAATGCTTCTTTTGCAATTTGAAAATCTAACATAAAATAATTATTATTATATATATATATATATATATATATATATATATATATATATTGTAGCAAACACTATGTCTGGTTGTGCCTGGTGTACATGTGTTGAAAATCCCATTAGCATCAGTGTCCCCTTTTCAGTTTTTGGGTATGCATAAACAAAGACTATCATGAGAACATTCTTTAAATTTACAACCATTTTTCAGAAACTATCCTTGAACATTGGGATTACTTTAGTTCCTGATAAAATAGAGATTTCTATCTCATTTTATTTAATCAATTCAACACTTGTGATTTTTTATTTACCAACACACAACATCTCAACTTAAATGAACATCCCCAAACAACAATATATATATATATATATATATATATATATGAATAAAGACAAAAGGAAACTTTTACATATTTCATCTCCTGATGGACTTTATCAAGGTTAATGTAAGGACTTTATTCTGCAACAAGTAAAAATTCAACACTTGTGATTTTTATTTGCCAACACACAACACCTCAACTTAAAAGGACATCCCCAAACAGCAACAATATATATATATATATATATATATATATATATATATATAATGAATAAATACAAAAGGAAAACTATTCTTTGCCAACATATTTCATCTTCTGATGGACTTTATCAAGATAAATGTAAGGACTTTAATTTCCAACAAGTATTTATAAACAGATCAAGACCAGACTGGCTATGGCAACTTTGGCAATGGCAAAACTCATTAAGATTTGGAAGAGCAAAAACATCAGCTTTCTAACCAAGATGGAGCTCTACAAATCCCTGGTGCTGTTCATACTGTTCTATGGATGTGAAAGCTGGACTCTGATAGCAGAAATCACCAAGAGAGTCCAAACATTTGAAATGAAATGCTTCTCAGGATCTCCTGGAGGGAACACAAAACAAATGATTTTGTACAGGGTCAAGTGACACAACTGTCAGTCCCCCAGGAACCCCTATTGGCAACAGTCAAAAGGAGAAAACTGTTGTGGCTTGGATATGTCCTATGCCACAATACTCTACCCAAGACGTTCCTTCAAGGTACTTTGGAAGCGGGTAGATGTAGAGGGAGGCAGTCCAAAATCTGGATGGACAACATCAAAGAATGGACCAGGATGGACATTCCAAAACTGTTTCATGAAGCAGAAAACAGATCTGGTTGGTAGCAGCTGGCAGCATCATCATTGCTCATGTCTTGTCTATGATCGTACCGATCATGAGAAAGGATGAGGATTTAAAAACAGAAGTAAAAATGTTGTTAGTATGTATATTTATGAGTGTTCTTAAAATACTGAAAAATTAAGAACATTTTTACTTCTATTTATAAATAATTTTCACTATTTCTGGACTGCTTGTATAAGAGAATAAAATTAGCATTGGTTAGCAAATGGCTAGTACAAAGTTGCTCATATAAGTAGCCTTATTCTATATATATATGTTAAGTTGTGTAATTCTTTTTGGTGATAAGACATGTAGTAGGACTGAACTACAGATTTGAAATGAATGCAGTTAAGATGGTTGAGGCTGAGAAGTTGAAAAAAAAGCAAAATTAACATTTTCAAAAGGAATGTGTTCAACAATGCAGAAAGATTTTTATACATATATTTTGATTTAAATAACAACATAGTTGACAAGAGAAATAAAAGTGAAAATAATATTTATATGCGTGAGAGAATAAGATATATAAATTTCTATACACCCCAACAATGATAAGTAATTGAATGACAAAATGGAAAAAATTCCATGTAACACATTTCAGCCTCTAAAAGGACTTCATCAGATTAAAGTAATTTTCTTATTGATGGAATTATGTATATGTAGGGAGAATGGAGTGATATAAGCATAAACAACAGATATAATTAACCTTATAATTAACCTAATTATAACTCTCTTCTCTAAATATATATAATTCCATCAATAAGAACATTAATTTAGTCCGATGAAGTCCTTTTAGGTGACAAAATTCATTTCATACAATTTTTTTCACTTTGACATTCAGTTATTATTTGTGTACAGATATCTAAAAAAAAAAGGAAAGAAAACATTTATGTACTTAGATGTAGTGTGATGTGTGCCATGTGGGTGGATTGAAATTAAGTAGTCAGCTACCAGGTGATTCCCTCACCTGATGATTCCCTCAGAGTGCAAGACTGGACATATCTGCTACCTATTGCATTCTGTTTCAGGTATCCTAGTAGAAAAGGTAGGTGTTATAGACAAGCGTATGGTTGCAAGAAGGAAATACGACAACAGCAGAAATAGATTTACGTGATTTATTTCAATAGGAACATGTGGGTTTAGGACAGCTACCTTGTGGTATAGTTCATAAGCCAGCTGCCAATCTGGGTTGATCTCTCATAGTAGTTCTCACTGGTTGGTGTGGCACTCCTCCTGCTGACTCAAAAAACGACGCGAGTATAATTGAGAGGGAAGCATTTTTATTGGTTGAAAAATAGAAACACTTTAAAATATTATTTTATTTTTTAACCGGAACTCGTGCATCAGGCCTGTGCGTAAACGATGACAATGGTCATTTTGTGACGGGGCCATGTCCCATTCACATCTAGCTCTCGCTCTTGAGTATGTTAGTTTATTTGCCTGCAAATCAGCTGAGATATGTCTTATTTTATTTTATAACATAGGTTATTCTCTATATGCTGTTTCATTAAATAATAATGTAAGAGAGATAAATTCTGTAGTATATATTTTAACATTTTTTTATTATTAGTAATGTAGTCTATGGAAATGTCTGTCTTTTATTTCCAAACACATTGAACTAATTTTTTCAGCTAAGAGTATCCTTATGCGATTATGTCTAAGCTTCTTGTTCTTATTTTACTTTTTTAGAGATTACTGGGGTTTTTTTTTATCTTCTCTGTCCATGAATTAGCTTTCTTCTACTTTTCCTGAAAGGAATTTATCAACAAAGTTTATCAATGATAAAATCTTTCCTACTACTTCTCAAATTTGAATAATTTTTTTTTACTCAGTAATTCCCAGCATTTTGACTACTAGCAATATTGTCTTATTAGGGCCTTAAAAACAGACATTTTAAAAGTATATACAAATATATAAACAAATATATTAAATCAAAGGAGAAAAAGCAAGGATAAACAGAAACAAAAACCTTATTACTCACTGTAAAGTGGTAGAACAAAAAATAGGACTCATCGATTATCACTCCTCAATCTTCACAACTAATCGGGGAAAAACACATAAGGTTTATGGCCACATTGAAACACCAGTTCCTGTATGATCACCAAAGTTAAGCCATGTCAAGCTTGGTCAGTTCGTAGATGGGTGACTGCTTGGGAATATCATGTGCCATAAACTTGGTTCTGCATGTGCTGTAATGGATAATAGCTTGAAATTGTTAATCAGAGTGTCAAGTTCCAATTCCTGTTGGGTTCGTTATATTCACTTGTATACAAATACCCTTCGAGAAAGGTATGAATTCATCTCTTCTCCCTCCAGTTATGAGTAAGACTTGTACCACTAAACCATTATCTTCAAAGAAAAATAGGAATTCTTGCAATCTAAAAATATTTTGTGATTTTAAATAACCTGCAAAGGGTTGTGTAGTTAAATGAATCTGTATTCTTCAGGCGTCATTCGTACAATACAAGATACCTCTTGTTCAACCTGCATTTCTTGCGTTCAGCACACCTCACCAACGTAAAATCATTCCGCCTTCTCAGCGCTTTAGCCCTCCTTTATCAAGCCAAAACCACAGTCAACCAACCAATCAGCATTCTTTGCTTTTGTTCTCAGTTACCCAGGCAAATAACCTTCTCTAGTCCAACCAATCAGCACACAACTTGCTATTGGTCAGACCATGCCAAACTGTACAAAATACTGCCATTACAGCACATAATGCTGGAATTGTTAGACAGGAGAGTAATGCCATTTTCAAGGAGCAAAATGCTGATGCCATGTGCCACATGTTGAGGTAAGACACTTATTTTCCTTTGTACCAAATGCAAGCCACTCTGGCTTGCTTGCTTCTACATGACTGTTTACAACAGGGTGATAAGCCGTAAAATAAATCCATCAAAAAATAAAACATAAATATATACACAACAGCTAAAAAGTGGTGGCAATACTACCAAAGAATCACTTGTATAAATCACAGACAGATTACATTTAGACCCAGCAACCATTCCTTCTACTTAGTCTTAATATAAATTGTCTAAAACATTTCTGGTAAAAGACAAAGCACAAGTTGGATTATTTATTAAGTGTTCTACAATCACAGACCTGAAAGTATTAAAAAGATTTTGCAAGTTATCATTCTACCCTCAACAGATCTTAGTTGGTATGTGCTGATCAATCCTAGCCTGAAAACCTCCGATCAGTTCTGACAGTATATTCAGCATCACACTGACATTTGTAATCTAATAATTGATTGTAATAAAAAAAATATCTATGATGCATCTACACAAAGATAAACCAACTTAATACAACTACAAGTTCATCAGACATAAAATCAACAATATAAATACAAAGCCTTTTGTTAAAACATCATTAAACAAATATTCCAGTTTAATGACACCATTTAAGGACCAAACAAAAACAATACTGTAATGTTTATCACAGAATAGACACCAGTTGTCACTCACCTTTTGAGTGAGCAAATTAAACAGATACAAATTATAGTGAACACATTATTAGAACATATTCTATTAATTAATCAATTTCAGATGAAATAAAAACATCTTTTCATTGAAAATTATTAATAAGATATGATATTTCTACTGAGTGGAACCCAACTTAAAATAAAATTTAATTAATTTATAATTTACAGAGAAAGATACAAATTACACAGCATTTAAAATGCGTATCACATTATTAATCTGCAAAGTTTCAGCTTTTAAGCATGTATAATTTATTATTAGAAAATTGATACTCTTCAAGTAACACATTCAAACAGAGCTGAGCATTATCTGTTAAATATGCATGTCTATTTATGTATCTATGACTAAGTCCACATGCCAAGTATAAATAAAAATATTTTTTATTGAAAGTTATTAAGATATAGTAGCCCTATTCAGGCACCTCAAGGCGATGTAATGGTTAGCAAGCTTGTCTCGCTAGAACAATTATGACTGAGTAGTGAGTTTGATCCTCAGTGGGTGTCCCCTACTTTCGGTCTTGTGCCACATCTAAGCTATGCTTGGAAAATCACTATAGTAGCACTACTGAGAGGATACTAAATTAAAATAAAATTTAATTAACTTATAATTTGTGGAGAAAGATAAAAATTACAGATTTTATTATTTACTAAGTTTATTTTAATCTGGCACAAGGCCAATATTCTATTCTATTATTATTCTTTTAATATTCTATTTCATTAAACTAAACTTATTAAATCCTTTGTTATTTACTAAGAAGGGGTAAATAAAAAATTAAGTCCTGTTACCAAAAATAAAAACAAAGCTAATCATAATTGTTTTTTGGGGGTTTTTTTGTTGTTTTTTTTTTTTGTTTTAACCACTGACTAGTAAAACTGGACCAGAGAATTTCAAGAAATAGGTATAAAAATATAATAATATCAAGTAAAAAATGGTGAGAAAACTCAAAATAAAATAATCAGGTTTGTCAAGTTAAAAAGCTAATACAGGATGTTCTGAGGTGTTGGGATTAGGTCAATATCATAGACAATGAACTCACCTAAAAATAAGTAAAAAAATAAATCCAAAGATAAAATGTATTCAAAAGAAAAAAACCCATTAACAACTATCATATATGATAGCACATAAGACCCCATTTCCTCCAACTTAAAATAGCATAAAAATATCTCCTTGGTCTTTTATGTAAAGTTTAAGTATCTACTATGCTACTATTAACCCAAATACCATTGACTATCAATAAACTTAAATTAACTTCATTATACTTCATAATATTAACCTATTAATGCCTATAATAACATTCAATATTAATTATAAAAAGTAAAAAAAAAACAACAAAAAACTGGTATTAATTATAGGTTTCTAAAAAAAAATCAAGTATTGATTATAGATTTATAAAAAATAATCTGGCATTAATTATAGGTTTATAACAGTTTGGTATTAATTATGGGTTTCTACCTTATAATCTATTCATGCTCTCCATCGAAAAATGGGATAGTAACCATTAATGGGTTAGATGTAAAGGTGGATAAGGGCTTTATATATCATCAAATACAATAAAATATAAACATATAAAAAACAATTTTATTAACCAATACAATTAAACATTAAATTTTTTTAAGTATATAATGCAGTGCAATTTATGTTTTTATTTTATTTTCATTTTTTGGCAATCATTCACCCAATACAAGGTCCAAGAGTAACTCAAAGTAGAGGGTTAGGATAGATAAAAATTGATCCTAGACTCAAAGAGGTTAAGATAAGATGCGGAAGATGTCTGACTGGAACTTTCTCCTTACCAATGGAATATGAAGAGAATGAGAATGTGTAAACTCTGTGTACATGGCATGGTAGGTCCTAGCTGTGAATGTCTAGACTAGTGGTGCTAAGGAATGTAACTCATCTGAACATCTGCCATGAAAATAGCAAAAGAGAAGCTATAGAGAAGTTTCATTTGTGGGAAAGGCGCAGTAGGGTGGAAAATAATTAATCACCCACAAGGCTGTATAAAACATTGTAAAATTTGTCAAATATAGAAAGTGAGGATTGGGTAGCTCCATTCCAGATATGGCAGCAATACACCATTTTTGATCTGATCTGACTCTTGTAAATATAGAGCAGGGCATAAGGAGTCAGGTACTTTTTAAAGTGATACAAGATGGAAAGTGAGGATTGGGAAGCTCCATTCCAGATATGGCAGCAATACACCATTTTTGATCTGATCTGACTCTTCTAAAGATAGAGCATTGGGGCATATATGGCAGAGTCAGGTACTTTTTTAAAGTGATACAAGATGGAAAGTGAGGATTGGGCAGCTCCATTCCAGATATGGCAGCAATACACCATTTTTGGTCTGATCTGACTCTTGTAAAGATAGAGAAGGGTATTCTTTTTAAAGTGATACAAGATGGAAAAGATATTTTTGATCTGACAGCTCCATTCCAGGCAATACAACATTTTTGGTCTGATCTGACTCTTGTAAAAGATAGAGAAGGGTATAAGAGTCAGGTACTTTTTAAAGTGATACAAGATGGAAAGTGAGGATTGGGCAGCTCCATTCCAGATACAGCAATTTTTTGATCTGATCTGACTCTTTAAAGATAAAGGTGATACAAGATGGAAAGTACAAGATGGAAATTGGGCAGCTCCATTCCAGATATGGCAGCAATACACCATTTTTGGTCTGATCTGACTCTTGTAAAGATAGAGCAGGGCATAAGGAGTCAGGTACTTTTTAAAGTGATACAAGATGGAAAGTGAGGATTGGGCAGCTCCATTCCAGATATGGCAGCAATACACCATTTTTGGTCTGATCTGACTCTTGTAAAGATAGAGAAGGGCATAAGGAGTCAGGTACTTTTTAAAGTGATACAAAATGGAAAGGGAGGATTGGGCAGCTCCATTCCAGATATGGCAGCAATACAACATTTTTTTGGTCTGATCTGACTCTTGTAAAAAGATAGAGCAGGGTATAAGGAAAGTGAGGAGTCAGGAGTCAAGGTACTTTTTTAAAGCTCCATTGATATGGCAGCAATACAAAGTTGATCTGAAAGGGAGGATACAAGATGGGCAGCTCCATTCCAGATATGGCAGCAATACAACATTTTTGGTCTGATCTGACTCTTGTAAAGATAGAGAAGGGTATAAGGAGTCAGGTACTTTTTAAAGTGATACAAGATGGAAAGTGAGGATTGGGCAGCTCCATTCCAGATATGGCAGCAATACACCATTTTTGATCTGATCTGACTCTTGTAAAGATAGAGCAGGGCATAAGGAGTCAGGTACTTTTTAAAGTGATACAAGATGGAAAGTGAGGATTGGGCAGCTCCATTCCAGATATGGCAGCAATACAACATTTTTGGTCTGATCTGACTCTTTTAAAAAGTGATACAAGATGGAAAAGATAGATATGGCAGCAATACAACATTTTGGTCTGATCTGAGGGCATAAGGAGTCAGGTACTTTTTAAAGTGATACAAGATGGAAAGTGAGGATTGGGCAGCTCCATTCCAGATATGGCAGCAATACACCATTTTGATCTGATCTGACTCTTCTAAAAGATAGAGCAGGGCATAAGGAGTCATTTTTGGGTACTTTTAAAGTGATACAAGCTGGAAAGATGAGGATTGGGCAGCTCCATTCCAGATATGGCAGCAATACACCATTTTTTTGGTTTGATCTGACTCTTAAAGTGATAAA